CCTCCATTTGGTCCCCCCTTCATCACCTACACCTTTCTTTCCTTTGTCTTTTCACGTCCTTCTGCGGGCCACGTTCCGTCATCTCACACCGTTCTTTCTTTTGCGCTCACACAGCCCGGCCCTTAGCCTTAGCGTGTACGAACACCACTTGCCTTCAACCCAGGTTTCAGGTCGTCAAGGACTTGACAATGAGGTTCGGTTCACTGGTTGTCCCCGCGCGCTTGGTTTTCCCCTTCGTCGCAACCACACACACTGGTCTTGTCTTGTCCTCTTCTCACGTCTTCATCCTTTTGTCTCCTTTGCGCGTACACATGCGCATTTGCTCGCCTGAAACCCCTTGGAGCCACAGGGGTTCTTTCAAATTTGGAAAAGATCCGGCCTCCCTAGTCGGGAGGCGCGTGTGCGAAACCCTTGGAGTCACAGGGATTCTTTTGAGTTGGTTTTATTCTCCGGGTTTTATCGCAGCAGGGGGCACAGGCCCATCATGGATACCTGTGCCAACGAAGCTGTTCCACGATGGGGGAAGCGGAGGTTGATCACCGCGTACCTGCTGAAATTTGTGGCGTTGAGTCATCACGTCCCACTCTAGAGTTCAGGCTGGTGAGGTTTCAGAGGTCGGCAGATGCGCATTATATAAAAGGCTACTGCATTCGTCGCTCGAAGCTTGCTTGTCAAGCTTGATTTTCACATTCTTTTGAATTTGGAGTCTTTTAAAACCGCTTCTTGGAACTCTTTCGGGTTCACCTTACATACCTTTAACCTGACCTCTTAGGCTTTCATACCTCGGCGGGCGTGTGGCATGTGGCATTCAGTTCCGTACGCATTTCCTAAGTGCGTGTTTAAACTGCTTAAACATGTGAGAGGTCAGGTTCAAACGGTTTAAACAAAAACCCTGAGGTTTAAACATGTGTTTAAACAATATGCGTTTAAACGTGAGGTCGTGTCCCAGCACCAAGCGAACAGGACAGGCTCGAGCAGCCGCAGAAATGTTTTGGCACACACAGCAAGGAGTTCGTCACAGCACCGCTTTGCGGTTCCGGTAGATCTGCACGGCTGGCAGATTCTGCTGGGCGGAGACTATCCTTCCAAGCATCGTTGGCTCAAGGCGTCCATGGCTTTGGTCATCACGTCTGCCACCGACACTGAAGAGCCGCTCAGTGCTAGCCTGGCTAGCTGGAATGCCCAAGAAGTACCGAGCTGGCACAAGGAGCTTCGGGAACTCACTGCCATGCTTACGCCACCAGACCAACGGTGAGGTTTCGTGCATTGGAGGAGGTGCAAGCAAATAAGCGAAGGCTTCTTGCTTCAAGGCAGACTGAAAGGAAGACCATGCTTCTGTTTTCTGCTGCTCGCCTTGCACTGGCTCCTTCTCTTGCTTCTTCTTTCCATCAGCAGGTGGGCTGGCATGACTGAACCTGGCAAAAAGCTTGTCTGACTTGTGCTTCGTAGGGGTTATTGGAGCATCCGACACATCTTGAGTGTCAGGCGGAGAGTCGAACATCTGCTTGTAGACTGCCAAACAGTGCTGCGCAAAGGTTGCGTTGACTTTCCTTCTTGCTGCCATTGCTGTCTCATCTTTGGGGTCATTCACATGTCCTGGCAACCACCCCAAATCCTTGAAGACTGGGTCAAACATGGCAGCAGTAATGAGTAGGCAGCGGCTTTGGACAGGAAGGTCGTCATAGTAGCTGTTGTACTCCTGGAGCAGCGACTGGCGCAGCCTGATTGCAGTGTCTGTTAAGACTTCTTGCGAGCACGGGCTCTCAGAACCATCAGGCTGCATGACATAGATGGGGGTCTGTGGCTGCAACGAAGCCCGGACAGCGGAAAGTGTAGGAAGGTACAAGCTCGAGGTGACATACTTGCTTCCTTGAATGACATCTGTGGCGGCTCCAATAGGAGAGAGGACGCCCACACAATCGCGCAGTCGCAGGAAATATAGCTCTGTCCATTTCGGCAATTTGGAAGGATGGGCTTTGCAATACTCGAGGATGCTTTTCTGCTTGTTCCTGAGAGCGCTCCAAAGGGTCAATTGCAAAAAGTCCACGTTTAAACAGTTTAGGGTGGTTTAAACGTTCAAACCAGTGCAAACGTGTACCAAAACAAAAAGAAATAGGGACACATTCGAAGCATACAAACACTGAGCATCAAGTCCAGGGTTGAGTTCCATCTTGTCTCAGTGTCCTGGGTGAGCTTGTTCGGACTCTCGCCACTGTTCTTCGCGAACTCCAAAAGCTGCTTCCAGCCTTTGCCCGACTGGTGAAAGTGCTGCACCGTGGAGCGACACATCTTGACCAAGTCCAAGACATCTGCATGGGCCTCATACTTCGATTTAGATGTCTCGGAAGCAGGCGGAAACATTTGATGTTTCGGGGGCAGCTGCAGGTTGTGAGCTGCGCATGGCACATGTTCGCCCAAGTGCCGGCAGTTGGTGTCCTTCTTGTACTGGGTCATGATTTCATTGCAGGCCTTCTTGATGGCGGCCTCTCCATCCGTCGTCAATGTGCCAACGCGTCCCACAGGAAGGCCCAACAAGTCAATGACTCCTTGAAGGTGCTCCCGCTGATTCGTGGCAGTCTTTGCTTCTGGAAACAAGGCCATGTCTGGGCAAAGGCAGAGGAGCTCAAAGAAAGGAGACACCCAAGTCACAATGGTTCCCATAAAGTGGTGACCGGATGTAGACGCTGTCCAGAGGTCTGCTGCAAAATGGATGCATGTTTTCTCGTCCTGCGAGGCCTCATGGACCATCGCCACCACATCCTGCAGAACCAAAAAGTCCGAAGTGGTCTGAAGAGAGTTCGTAGGTAGGTACTCGTTTAAACTTGTTTAAACATTTATGTTTAAACATGTTTAAACACGGCCCTAGTGCACAAGCGCTGGTTTCAATCTGTCCTCCTCGATCTTATCCAAAACACGAGGGACCACTTTCGCTCTCATCTTGCCACGGCTGCAAAAATGAAAGCGCCCATCTAGCACCGAGACAAACTGCCTAAAGCCTTCTTCTTCACACATGCTGAAAGGATGGCCATGTCGGATGACCACCTGTTCGGCGAACACATTCAAAATCTCCTCGTTCTTCACTTTTGGATGCTTCATGTGGGCATGCATGGTCTGCTGACCAGGCTTGGACCCAACAGTGTCCTTGCCAATGTCGTGCTTCGCAAGGTGACGCTCCAACGGGTTCATAGCTGCATTTTTGAGGGTAATGATGCCTTTGGGGTCGTCCGACGTTCCCCGACGCCCCGAACTGCATGTGTTGCAGTAGAAGGTACTGCCTGGCACCTGACCATCTGCATCACGCCTCTGGTGGAAATGGTTGTACACCCAGGATCGTCCTTTTGGGGCAATCTGCTCCACATCATCTTCATGGAGAACTGCAGGCTCAGCAGCAGCTTCCCGCGCTCGTTTGAGGGCAGCACCCGAGACAGGTGCATCGAATGCCTTTCGCTTGGCCATGCTCAGTTCCTGCTACTGCTGGTGCTTCTTTTGGACCTTACTGCCACTGTTGCTGCTACTGCTGCTGCTTTACCGCTACCATCATGATATCATGAAAAGCCGTGACCTCACAGGCTACACATCTGAACCCCTTCTGTGTCTTTGTGCCACACCGCTGCAAAAACATAAAACTCAGAATTGAAACATGGAGATGACTGTGGTTTCTTGCTTCAGCATGTTTAAACACGGAGACCAAGGAGCGCCGTTTAAACGTTTAAACCAATCTGGAGACCAGCTTGCAAACATGTTCAAACAGTTTAAACATAAACGGTTTAATGTTTAAACGTGTTTGTGACTTACCTCTTGGAATCACCGGGAATCCTTTGATGTTCAGCAGGGGGCTCTCGGAGCCTGCATGAGACGAGAGCCAACGAAGACGCTCACGCAGTGCTTGTGCAAACGTACCTCCTGCTGACCGCACCTCATCATCTAAACGCAGCTGGTGGGTCACACGCTGTTGGTCCCTGCTTGCAATTATATAGAACAATTCATCCAGCCTTCGCAGTGGTTCTCTCACTGCGGTCATGAGTTTTGCAACCTGTGCGACGTACAAGTTCAAGGCTTTGGAGGCTTTGAGATGGTCACAGATGGTCAAACCGCTTTACCTACAACCTGTTCACCCAGACAATTTTTTCATATTTTTTCACTTAGGCTTCTTCAGGGCTTGGGGCGATCAGTTCAGTACGCATTATCCCGAGTGTGCGCACGCCCTTGCAAATACTGTGCACAAGTAACTAAGTCCAAGACAAACAACAACCCCACAGAGCATTACCATGGCGTTTAGCTTTCAGCACGTGTAAGAAAGTCAACTGTTGTTGACTTTGCATGATTCTCTCAGATGGCTGTCCATGATGAATTCATGCATATAGTGAAGGTTACTTCAACTCTTCAATCCAAGGCAGTTCTGCTCACAGCTGGGTGGTTGACACAAAAGCTGCCCCTGCATTCCGTGCGGCTTCATTGAGGGCCACCTGGCAGGAAGAGCGGATTTCACTGCCAAAGCGGGAGAGCCCAATAGCAAAGAACTCGTCAGACTAGTAACAAGTGCATCGCTACTAGTAACAAGGGCATTACTACTAGTAACAAGAAGATACTGTTAGCTAAGGGCTTTAGGTTCCTCATTCGCCTAGAATAAACTTTGCTGGTCGTACTATGCTCTCCCTGGGCATTAACATAGTCACCACAACAGCTCCATAGCCACGGCCTTAAGCGGGCAGCAATGAGAAACAAATGATTTCAAGTCAGCTGAACTTGGAAATTAGTACATCAATATCTACATAGGGCATTTTTGGTTATAGAACGGTTGATTCATTCTTGCTAAAAACCTGTCGACCGGACAATTTCAATTTTCCCCTGTCGGCATGCGATGGTGCTGGTTCACCTGCCACCCCAATGCAGGACAATAGTCCTGCCCACTGTACAGTACACCCTGCCAAAAATGCAGGTTCCTTGTGTGAAGCTATCTATGCAATTATTATCAGTGATTAATATTGTAGTATTTAGAAGCGCTGTATATCTCAGTATAAACTATATATGATCAATTCAATCCAAATGCTCATGGCTTCAGAAAAAGGTTCTTCTTGGCCTTTGTCATACGCAGTCTTGACACCTGAGGATGGGTGCTTGCTCTGGCATTCGCCGTCAAAAGCCAGGAGACACATTCAGTTGCTGCTTCGGCCCCGAAAACCAGAATAGATTTACAGTATATATACAGGACAGGATTTCCCCATGGCACCAAATCAAGAAAAACTGAAAGTCTAGGATCTATGGACCTAGGGGCAGCACTGGCTGTGGGTCAGCTGATTGTTTGCGTCTGCTTGGCTTGCTCTTGGCAACTGCAGAGATGCTGTCGCCGTCGCCTGTCTTTGGAGCCTGAGCACCGGCGAAAGAAACCTCTCGCCAAAATTTCAAGAACAAGCCTGCGCTCCTCTGACAAGTCTTTAAGTTCTTGCTTATGCTTAGCGACTCTTTGCCGAAGATTCTCGAGTGTCTCCAAGTTCTATATATTTGAAGGGCCGGGATTGGGGAGTAATTCCAAACTGCAGCATGAGATGTGTTGCTTTTAATACAAATAAGATCCCGACTGCCTCTGCCGCAGGAACACCTACACTCTTGACACAACCAATGGCATGACAATTAGAGGATGCACACAACCCCGGGCAAGTCCCTTCCAAGCCAATCTATCCTTATTCTAATACCATCCAGACTCAAATGTAAGACCTCCTAGTGCAAGACATGAGCTCGTGTCCATTGAATTCCTGGTGAACAATGGCCCTCATGAAGGGCAATGCCTCATTGTCGAAAAAATCACTCTAGATTGAGCTCGTCGCTGCGTGCATTTGCTGCAGAGCATTCGTTCGCGATCTGCTCGATTGCTAAGCGAAGCCAAAGCAGAGGAAAATCTGCCTCTCAACAAATCCAAGCTCAGTCTCAGTGTGAGGGCGGCGGAGGGACCCGCATCCCCTGTTGGTGACGTCTCGGCTTGTACCCCACGCATACCTCCCTTCTTTCTTCACCCTTCAATTTTCCTTCCTCCGCTTTCCTGCACCCTGTCACAACTTCCCTTCCCGTAGCACCACCAACTCTATGGAGCAGCTCAGTCAGGGCCTAAGACCCACCCAGCTTAGAAAGAGTGAACGACATCTCGCATCAAATTGCTTTGTCTCCAGTATCAAGACGGAAAAATACAGAAGGCCACATGTAAGTTGGTCGGACTCTGTTGGACCACGAAAAATCTAAGCTAAGCAGGAGACTTGCCTCCAGAGATCTGGCAGCCTGAAGGACATCACTTGCAGATGGCATTGGCAGCACTCCAGCCTGGCACCAAATCGGCAAGCAAAAGTTAAGCATGATTATATAATTATATATATATGTTTATGCACCAAGCTGCTGCTAAAGATTCTTCTGAGACGCTTCACTGCAAAGGTGAATTGCCTGTGTTGGCGCAGTGTTGAAGGCGTGCTTCTGCATTTTGCCAGTAAAAGCTCGCAAGGCTTTTTGTGCCAGTATGACTGCCTCCTGCAAACCAGCCACAGCGTGTACAAGGGTGCTGAAAGGGGTCAAGTTACAGCCACATCGGAGTTCCAAAGAGGGTGCATAGTTGAGGTTGTCGGGTAAGAAAGCAAAGAAACGAAGGCTTGACCAGTTCAGCTGAACATCCTTGCTTGTTTCGAGTAAAAGCGTCTCGTAGCACTCTGAAATCTCTGCAGCTCAGTGCTACATGCTTTGGCATGCTTTGGCAAGGTCGTGCTTGCATACTTATATAAATATATGTTATGTGCACGCACATTTTGTTCGCAAAACTTGCCGTCAAATTAAATGTTAGGTTCCCCAACTATCGCTTCCTGCAAAGCAAGACTATTCTATCCTTCACATACTTGCCAGAAATCCAAGCTGCCGCTGACTGACCTTTTCCAAAATTTCTAGGCACTCTCCACATGGGCAAGGCCAACAATCACCCGTCTGCTCACTTCGTCTTCCGGGCTCTTGGGCTGTCTTCGTGGGCCACCAGCTCCTTACATGACACAAAAGTCAAGAAACTCCAACCTCTTGATGTACGCACGCTACAGTACATGCACTGGGCTACACTACTTTGCTACTGCGTAGGGTTTGGATTGGAGGGTGTCACTTATGGCAGTTCATTCGATTGCATGACCTGTGCTTACCTGTCTACACATCCTTACACATTGCATTGCACAAACCCATTTACGTAAACACACACACACGATATCTCATAATTCTACAAATGGCCAAGAGAATTCCAGCAATTGCTGAGCCAACTTAAACAGAATCGATAATCTCAGTCAATGCATCCATACCTGTCAGCTTCAGTCCATACCCATCTGGTGGACCTATGTAAGCTTTATGTACAAGTGGACCTAAGGATATGTTTGAACGTTGGCCATCTTTGACCTCTCACCTAAAGGGGCTTCCTGAAGGAGCTCGTTGGATCTCTTTGACTGAAGGCAAAACTCGTGGCTCGGGCTGAACTCATGTGGCTTCGGACTCTTCTGACTCTGGCGAGACTCGGGCTGAACATAATCAAGCTTTGACGTCTCGCGCTTCTCAACGGCAGCAGCGCCCTGACGCTTTTTGGCTGCAGTATTGAATCTCAGAGAAGGCAAACATATTGTGTTATAGTGCCTTCGAACTTCAAACCCATACAGTAAATCCACGCATTGAAAAATCTCTCAAACTGCGTTCTTCCTGCCTTGATGTCCCTCAGCGGGAGATTTTCCAAATGGAAGGCATGGTTGAAGCGACGGTAGCTGTACAGCCAAAGTACGGCGCTGCTTCCCTTAGGAGACACAATTCTTGATCGCGTGGTGGACCGCCACAAAACAGCTTGGTGGGACTTTCCCTGAAACTTGGATGGAAGCACGACACTATGTACATTATATATATACATGTTCTTGTGTGACTGAAAAACAGTCACACTGGAAGCTTCCTCGCCCTCCGACCAACCTACGTCCCCGACCGGTCCACCGATCGCCGCGTCCGCGCTTTTCTACCTTCCAGGTGTTTGTCCGATCATCGTGTCCAGGCCTTGAGCCAACCATCGGTGGCTTCACACTTGAAGGTTCCCTCCATTGGTGTCGGTCGATCGAAACTCTTCGATTCACACAGGCTTAACTTTCTTTTTCAAGTGTGACTAGTTCGAAACTGCTTCGATCCATCTTGAGCTGTATGTCCTGTTCGGATTTTCCTTTAACGAGCTATTGTCGTCATAGATCCTGAACTTTCCGAGTGCCAACACCTTCCGAAGGAACGAAGAGTCCATAGGCTTCGTTAAACAGTCCGCTAGCATAATGGCTGTCGAGATCCACCGGCATTCAGTCGTGTGTTCTGACTGCTGTTTTATTAGCATGACTTCTATGGTTGTCCTCCACTCTTGGCAATTGGGTGTTGCCATTTTATTCACCAGGTCATACAAGCTCTTGCAATCCGTGATTAGAAGTGCTTTTGGCTCCTGCTGCAATGATTTTTCTGGTGTTTGCCACCTGAATTTTCCGTCTTTGATGACAGCCCACATGCATCTCAACCATGTTAACTTATCAAGAGACGAAGACATTGCGTAAGCTTCTGCACTTAAAGTTGATCTTACAACTCTGCTAATCTGTTTGGAGTGCCAAGCTACTGGGGATATCTCTGAAATCTTATTCTCTGCTAAGTTCTTTGTACAAGCTGCTATGAATACCCCTTGTTGCGGTTTTAGTTGATTCTCTGAGGCAAAACTTGCATCGCCGAAACTAGCGAATGTGATTTCGTGAACTCCGATTGGTTGGACAATGATTGATGTTTCTGCCGTTTCCTTCGTTTCCTGCAAAACTTTATTTGCTTCTATTAGGTCTTTTACCTTTGCACTGCATATCCGTTTCTGCAAGAATGCCACTTTAGCCATCATGTCCGGTCGTGAGTGAACTGCTGCATACTGAAGGCTGCCACACAAAGCTCGAAGCTGTTGCTGCTCTTGCTCGGTTACAGGTGCTTCCTGTTCTTTTCTTCTCAACTTCGGAATGTCTATTGGTTCAATCTGGTGTACATAATCCTTTTGTCCTACCTTGATCGAAAAGTCATCTCGTTGTTCTATGGTTAACCCAGTGAACTTAAACTTGGTGCTTTCATGATTACCGAATGGCAGTTTCTTTTGTACTTGCTGCAATGCTTTGTTAAACCGACTGTTTCCCCCTCCGATTGCATCATCCACATGTGTTCCAAGTATACCGTCCAACTTGGTGGAATCCGATGGGTCTCTCGGCAGGAACAAGCAATTGTCCAGGGGATGTGCCACAAATCCTTCATTCTCTAGGCATCTTCTAAATTCTTTGTAAAAAAGTAGGGGTGCGTCTACTCTTCCATATGCGTTTCCCTTCAGGAGGAGCACATGTTCTTTTGAGATACCCAGCAACTTTTGGAATTCTGGCACAGGCTGCATCGCAAGCTCGCGGTCGTCAGATCTTCCTCTCAAGAAAGCTGTCTTGATGTCGAAAGATTGAATCTGCCAATGTTTTGAACTCACTGTTTGAAGGACCATCATGCGGCCGTCCCTTGACAGGGTCGGGCTTTCTGTCGAGACCAAACCTACCTCTGGGTCCTGAAACCCTCGGATGACTAGTCTGGCTTTCGGTTTTCTCCCTCCTGGTGATTGATGGTCTTCTTTCCATGTTAATACCCATTTGGATGTCATTATTCGGCTTGGGTGTATTTTATTTCTTAACAATGGTTCAACTGTGCTTGTTTCAATCCAGCATTTCAATTCCTTTCGTTTTGCTTCATCGAACTGATTTTTCTCCTCTTCTGTGAGGTTTCGGTATTGCACTTCTGTGTGTGTCTTCTTGGCGGCTTTGTTCATGACTTCTGCCTGGTAACATGGGTTTCTCATGAACTTTTCCAATGTTTTCACTGGAACAACTAATTCAAGGCTGCAGAACTGTGCATCGGCTACCTCAGATGATTCATCACTCCATAGAGTCCCTTTATCATCTATCCCCTCCGCTGCTCGATCTACAGCTTCTATACTACATGCATTAACCACAAAAGAATCTTCCCCTGATTCGTGTGGATTTTCCCCATCCCCTTTTTCCTGAACCGATTCATTCGGACCTAAGTTTTCTGCTAGTTCTTCATCTGCATTTGGGTCATCAACTGGGATTTGGCTGACATCTAGTCCTGGAGGAAGACTTGGCGGCTCTGCAATTGAGTTTCGCCGGATGGGCTCTTCTTCCGGCTGGCTTGGTCGGACTGGGGCTTCATTCGAAGGCTCTGCAATTGACGGCTCGTATTCTTCGTTTTCGGTCATGTCCGAAAATTGGAACATTCCGCTTCTTTCTCTTAACTGGCTTCGAAGCTGATCGGCCATCTCTTGAAGTCTTCTTGTTTCCCCAATCTGCTGAAAGCCGTGGTGGCTTTGAAACTCTCGCAGGGACACTGACCTCATATTTTCTCTGGCTACTCTTAAGAGGCGATTGAGGTGGGTTACCCAAATAATAGTTCGAGTTTCATGCATCACAACTTGACACGGACCTACCCACCTACCTTTCTCCAACATGTTTGGGGCTTTTCGCTTATCCCAAATCATGCACAGTTCTCCGCACTTCCAGTCGTGTTCTCTACCCCGAGACTGCCTCAGGATTGCTCGACGAATTGCTGCGCTGTTGTCTGCATCGATGAATGCTTTTCTTGCTTCTGTTCTAATGTTCATTCTTCTTTCGAAAGCTTCGGTTTGGTTGTCTTCTCCATCCCCTAACGAATGAGCTGTAGTATCTTCATCGCTGCAAACCGATCCAGGCAATCGAGCGGCTCTACCTAAGACTGCTTGCTCAGGACTGTACCCCTTTGCTATGCTCAATGCTGTTCTTTGCTTGGAAACACTGGGAAAGTGCATAGTCGAAGTCCTTCTCAGTCTTTATAGGAGAGTGGTTATCGATTCTACTGAGCATTTCTTTGACCGTTCCACCGTGCCTCTCTATTCTTCCTCTTTGCCAAGGAGCAGCTGACGTCAGTGATTGGATCCCATGTTGTTGTAACATGTTTTTCCACTGCTGGCTTACGAATTCACCTGCTAAATCATGAACTATGGTTTGAGGGGGTCCAGCCCAATGCAACCATGTCTCATTCACAATTCTTTCTGCCTCTTCCGTTCCCCTTTGGCATCTTCTGCCCAAGTGAAAGTGGGTGGCTTCATCAAAAATGTGGATCGCATAGTATCGTTTGCCCTGGGAATCTTTCCATTCGAAACCGTCCATGGATATGACTTCGTTGAACTCCTTCGGTTCTTTCAATTTTCCTGGGCTGTGCAATTTCGGTGGGACCCTTTCTGAACATGATTGACACAGGTATTCACTTGCTCCATCTATCAGCTCTTGAGAGAATTTGAGTCTCTTTAGATGGCTTGCTAATTTCTCGGCCGTTGGGTGTCCTAGGTTATTATGCATCCTTTGAATCAGAGATTTCTGAAAACTATCCAAACTATGGAATTTTGGTCCCGAGTTGTTTGATGACTGCGGTGACCATGCAGG